TAAAGCCATGTCACCAGCCCATCACAGGACTCACTCATGTATACATACATATCACACAACTTCTGTGTATTATATTTTCAGACAAAGCAATACCTTTCTCATACCTGGAGTTGTTTCTGTGGGCTTCCTAGCCCTGGGCTCTAGAGCCCTTCACCTGATGTCTGTTCTTACCTCCTTTTCCCATATGGGGTCTAAAACCTAAACACAGACATCAAATGGACACTGTTTCCTTCCTCATGACTTCCTCATTCAATTTGTTTTTCCAACTTCTTTCCTATTTCCATTCTTGAGACCAACATATGTCATATATAGAGGTAGAGTATATATTATTATATAAGTATATAGTTACACATAAATACATATTTATATATTGATCAATGCATTTAAATACAGTATAGATAGTATAGATATTGTTCCAGCAGTTAGCTATTCTTGCCAAACACTCATGTCTCCTCCTTCCCCGAGTTCCTGGTAAGCCCCAGTAGCAAATCCAATACTTTGCTCCTTGGCTTCTCAGTACTCAGAAAAGTTTGTGGGACCCACTACCTCCACAGCTCCTAAGCTACCATGGGCCAAATCATGGCTCTCTCTCTCTACTTAACAATCTTTATGCTTCTTCCAGAGCCGTGTCCTGATAGCTCCTCTCTCAGAAGGGAAATTCCTAGCTGTCCGTTTTCACCCTCAAGAGTTTCTGCAGTACTGTCACCTGGCTCAGAGAGGAAGCGGGTTCTTCAGTCACACCTGCAGCTGTCCCCCTGCACCTGTTTTTAGCCCCATTACCTCACATTTCAACAGAAGCCTCTTTCCCATACTTATGCCTCTCTTTGATACAATGGGGACGTCTTTTCGGATTACACTTTTATTTATTGTATGTGTGTGACTATGTGTGTATGGGCACAGCCATACCAGTATCTTGTCTGTGCCCATGTATTCTCCCTCTCTTGTGTAGTCTTATTCATGCCCTAATTTCATCAGCTTCACGGATTCCTAGAATCTTTCTATATATATCAACAACCCAGATCCTCCAGAGTGTTACCTCCTGATCTCTCTCTCTCTCTCTCTCTCTCTCTCTCTCTCTCTCTCTCTCTCCCCTCTCTCTCTCTTTCTTTCCCACCAATGAGTCGATGTATTCTCTCTTTCCCACCAATGAGTCGATGTATTCTCCCACTTCTACTTATTTATTAACTGTTTCCTGTGGCTCCCATCCCCTTCATGACATTTCTTCTGCTATTGCTGTGTCACACAAAGCACAACTATAACCAAGTTCTCACCCTATCAAGCTAGGTTTGAATGAAACTCATGACACAGGATCCTTCAGAATTTGAGTCCTGAACATCCCTCTTTATTTCATTTCTCAACACACATTCAGAACACCCATCCTATAGAAGGATTTTCAAGATATGGTGAAGGAACAAGAAGGAGGGTGGGCTTGACCAGGTTCAAATATGTTTGCGAAACTAATGCTCCAGTGTTCACTTTTATGGAAGTTTTTCTCAAGTTGACCCTTGAGCCAGCAACTCGTGCATTAATTGAAAGATCATTATAAATGCATATTTCAGGGCTCACCATAGAGCTACTGAATCAGGAATTCTGAGAGTGGGATTAGCAACCTGTGTTAACAGGTTTTCCCAACAATGTTGATATGGCCTAAAGTTTGAAAAGTGTGATCTTAGAAAATTTTCATGTATATTATCCTATTAAAGGCTTCAAGAAGTGTTGAAATTACTAATTTTCCCATGGTTAAACCAATATTGTCTCAAGTTATTTGATTATGGACCATGTGCTTATGTGTTTGTGTGTGTGACAATAGTCAGTAGAGACGGAGTTAGAGAAATACTTCCTCAGAGGCTGTTTTAACCGATCTCGCTAGCAGTTCTTCAAGTATACATCTTGCCACAAATGCATTTGCACTTAAGTAGGCCATCTTTGCATCTTTCTCTTCCTAGCTTTGTTCCACTCCTTTTCTTAGAGATATTTCACAATTATGTGTTCACAAGTGTATGAAATGCCACAGACATATTTCATGCCAAACTTTAAAATGTTGCAGACGTGTTCTCCGACTTCACTTCTGACTTCAATATTTCCAATGCACATAGTGACTTTCTCTATGTATTGATTCTTCTTGGCAAATGTGTTATTATTATTATATTTGGTGTTGTGACAGTGTATTGTATCTCTCACCAGCATGTCTGAGGTATAATAGCCTTTGTAAACATAACTAGAGGAAGCTCTCTCTTCAGTTGATCCTAAACTCTGCAACTTTCCATTTCCCAAAATTCTTCTTCCTATTATCTACTCTCACTGACTCTCTTTCAAGACTATTTCCACAACAATCAACACTATTAGCCACTGTTATAATAATCGCTGTAGTTTCAGTTCATCTACTGTCATATTTCATAAGCATTGTAATAATTGCTGTAATTTCTATTATGATAATTATTAGTACCTATTATCATATTTCCTAAATTTCTATTGCCATTCATTATCTTAATTTTTCTAATCATAAGGTCAAGTCTTTAGTAGATTTCTAAGATACATTAATAAAACATTAATTAGAAAAAAATAGTTCTGAAGAAGCTGCAAGAATTATGATTCATTTTTATCATTTAAAATATGTTATACTTTCAGACTTGCAGACTATTAACTAAGATAAAGCCTGATTTACAATACTATGTATGTATAAATCAAACTATATCAGTGTAAATCATATTATGTATATAGAAAGCACACTATGTATTTACAAAATTAATGATTCAGCATCCAAGTTTCTTTATTCTGATGTAACTTACAGAATTTGTTGCAAAACTCGGCACCATCCATAATTCTCTGACATCATAAAAATGCATGATGGAAGCAGGGTATGTGGTCTAGGGGACTTTGCAACTGATGTGTTTCCAGGTACTTCCATGTCATCTCTGTTCTGTGTCATTCTTTGCAGAATGATAAGTAATGTGCATCTATTATAGTCACTTTCTTCCTTCAATCACACTACTTACAATATGTAAGACACTGCTTTGGCCATACGCACAGCATCCTAATGTTGTCCATAGTGACCACCAAAACTAATTTTGTTAACAGCTTTTATAACTCAGCATGTTGTTTAGACAGGTAAATGTTGCATATATAATGAGAGATGAGTAGATATTTTCACTGTTGTAACAATGAACTCCTATTTATAAAGATACATTTTGATTAAAAATATAACTTAAAATCTGGGCAAACTAAATATTCATAAACCTACATTTTTTTCTAACTAAATATCCACTGATAAACCTTGGCATAGCTCAGGACTTGAAGGAGAAAACTTGCCAAGCAATTTCAAGTGATTTTGAGGGATCAAACATACCGGTTCTTAAGACTTGAAAATTGCTTACAGTTCACTCTTTTTGAAGTAATTTATGTCAAGCAGTAATTTTCTGAAAATTTTAATTTAGCTCTGAAAATTTTTCCATGTTTTATTTTGGACATAAAGGGGAATCAATAACTCTTAGAAGCTCCCTGGGGAAATATGTCCCCATGGTACATCATAGCCTGGGTATGCAGGTCGCAGGTAATGGCTGAATGTGTTGTGAGGCTGTATTTTAACTTAAGTGAGACCAGCAATCAGGTGATGACCCAGCTAAGCACAGTTACATGTATTGATCAACATTGGAAGATACATGTGCTCAACCATTTAGCACAGAATGGATGGTCTTCTGGTCCCAGAAGATATGAAGGTTAGATACACCACAGATTGAATCATGTAACATCCATATCTACACAGTTTACATCAGAATATGTTTCCTGAGCCACAAACTGAAGTTCCAAGATATTCTATAAAGATGATTCAACAAAATGACCATTAAAGCCATATGCTTCCTATTTATTTGTATACTTGAGTAGAAATTATATCTGCCTGTACATTTTTGCCTAATTTAAGAATGAAATGTAAAATAAAAGGTGATAGAAAGAATGCCCACTCAGGTGGAGAAATGTCTCAGTGGTTAAAAGGACTGGCTGCTCTTGCAAAGGACCTGGGTTCAGTTCCTTACACCCACATGGCAGCTGACAACCATCTGTAGCTCCATTTCCAGGGGATCCAATGCCCTCTTTTGGCCTTCTTGGAACTTGTACACACAGCTGCACTACATACAGGCAACACACACCTACACATAAAATTTAAAAATAGAAGAATGTGCACTAAAATAAATAACCAGAATATTTTATCTGCATAATGGAAGAATTTTGTATGTGGAAAATGAAACTTACATATGAAAGAGACATTTAAAATCACTTTTATAGTTCTCTAACCTCAAAGTGCATTCAGACCATCCCAGAACATGTTCTGCTCTCCAGATTCAATCGGTAAAGAATTCAGATAATGAGTTCTTTAACAGGAACTGAGATGGAATCAAAGCTGGTAAAAGAAGAAGAAGGAAGATTTACAAAAACTTAGTTCATCAGATAAAGTTGTGTGCAAGGTGGGGGTGTTCGAAACAATATGTGTAGCGGGTGTAGAGTGTGGAGTTTTACGTAGCTAGTTTGTAACCAGGCAGTTTTGAGTTCCATAAACCTACAACTGTCATGCCTTGACCAAAGTATTTAGGCTTACTAAATCATACACCACACACACACACACACACACACACACACACACACACACACACCTTTGTATGTATAAACTTTGATCTTTCTGTGGGAAAAAAACATAACAACGGGATAATTTCCACAATTATAATTCCTGTGGTCATGAACTATAGCATTCGAAGGGAGGAGTAGCTTGCATTTCAGAACCAAGTAAAAGAATTGTGGAAGCGAAAGTAAAAACAAATGAGAGATTAGAAATTTGAGCCTAGCCATCATCCCATTTAATGGAGAAAGGAAGCCTGAGTTTAATCTCTTTTTCTTCACATAATCAAGTGTTTTCTAAGACTTGGTTTCTTGGGTCCTCTTGTTTCAGTCACATGTAGATGAAGTCTTATGAAACCTTCTCTTTTGCATGTTTTGTGCCTCGTGAGCAGAGTAAGAAGCAGGATGTTGCCCAGGAAGACCAGGGACCGACCACCAAGAACCTGGACTTTTGGCCACAACTGATTACCCTGATGGTCACTATTATTGATGAGGATAAAACTGCCTACACTCCTGTCCTGAATCAGTAAGTACACTGGTTTTGAAAACTGGTGCATCTCATTCCACTAAAGTTAAAATATATGCACTTCATATACAGCCTGTATTTTAAGGACAGTGAATTTTTTTTCTAAAATGAAACCATAGAAACAATACTTTGTACTCTTATCAATAAATGTCAATTCAGTGATAGTGTGGATTTTTAAATTTTAAACCCCATAGAATGCAATTGTTTAGATACGGAGTCAAACATTTCCCAAGATTTTATTATTATTTAATATGAAATCTTTCCTGGGGCCTCTTTCATAACTATCCATTTTAAAAGGCAAAATAATGTAATCTTCACAAAACTTAAAAAAATTGGAAAACTGGTATTTTACAAATATTGCATTACAGATTCTCAATAATGAAGACTGGGATTAAAAAGTCTTGTTTTCAAAATGGCTATGCATATTGGATGTAATAGAGTTAATGCAACATATTTTAGAAGCAAGTCTACTTCTGCAGGTTTTTCTCCAATCTGTCCTTTAGGAAAAGGCAAAAGGATTAAATTGATGGCTGTCCTAGAAAAATCTTTAAAATCATCCACTTTTCAAAATGATACTGGTTATGGCATCTCAGACAGATCCTCTGATTTCTCTGCATCTCAGATTTTCTCAAACATAAAATAAGGGCTCATTGCTAGATGGTTTCCCAGATCCAATTCTACTTTAATGTGCTGTATGCTGAAAATGAAAGCAAAGGAATGGACTGCCTATCTGGATGACAGTGGGCAACCCTGACATAGCTTCAGGACCCAGGATGATCCAGACAGTGTGGGCAGCATCTATAGTCAGCCATGAACCAAAATAAGTGATGCAGGTCCAGATTCACTGTGGAGAACTGGTTTTGGTTATTTTTCTTATTTTTGCTGGTCAAGACAGTCTGGATCATAATTTATGTTAACTCCAATTAAACTTGCAATTGTAAGAAAAATAAACTATCCTAGTTTTCACCTTTTTGTCTTTTAGTTACTCATCTCTTTAAACAATAAAGATTTATTTTTATTTTATGTGTATGAGTGTTTGCCTACATGTATGTAAGTACACCATGTGTGTGCAATGCCCATAGAGGTCAGAAGAAAGCATCAGATCCCCTGGAAGTGGAGTTACAGATGATTGTGAACCACCATGTGGGTGCTGGGAACTGAATATGGGTCCTCTGCAAAAGTAGCAAGAACTTTTAATTACTGAGCCATCTATCCAGTGTCCTATTTAATTTTTAATCCCACTGAATCCAGTTAGTGCTGCCAATATGTGCATGGCATGGGCTTATCCACTGGAGCATGAGGAACCTACAAGTCACCACATCCCTAAAGAAAATTGACTCTCTTCCCAATAGTCATCAACTGCCAATAGCTCCTCAGCTAGATTTGGAGATTCAGGAGCCCCTCCCCACTCCGTGCTGGAATGTTTAACTGACTTGATCTTGTATAGGTCTTGTGGAGGTACCCAGTGAGGCTGTGAGTTCATGAGTACCGCCATTTCGTGTCCAGAGGGTGGCATTTCACAGCACTCCTTCCCATCCTCTGGTTCTTACATTCTTTCCACTCCCTCTTCTGCAATGTCCCCTGAACCTTGGAAGGGGGTGACATAGATGTCCCATCTACAGCTGAGCATTCACAGTGGCATATTCTTGGCACTTTAAATAGTAAGGCATCTCTATATTAACCACTACCACTGCCTAGAAGCTTCTGTAGTCATGGTTTCAAGAAGCACAAATCTATGGATATAAACATAAATATTTAGAAGGCAGTTTGACAGCATGACAAACAACCTCAACATGTTTTCCCCAAGGGCCTATGATATCCCTAGTCATGGATTTGGACTATGTTTGTAGTACCATGAAATCCTTCCTGTGGAGCAGGTTTCAGATCCAGCCAAGAAAACAGTTGGTTACACCAATAAACAGTCTTGCCACTATTGTACCAGTGGGCATATCTTACCTGGCAGGTCAGTTGTTTGCAGGGTTGAGTACAAGTTAAGACCATAGATTCCTCCCTCACCCCCATTCCCACCCCATGCAGCCTGCATAGAACCTTCCAGAACCGTGACAGCTAGCCAACAGGAAGAGTTTCCTGACCACCTCACTATTTCTTTGTCCTGCCACCAGTGTGTGATGTCTTCAGCAGTAGGGTCCAAACAGCTGTTAACTGCTGATTGTTCACATGGTTCAGGTTGGTCTTGTTTCTGGAGCAAGAAGCCTGATGGTCCGTTGTATGCAATGACTATATTATCAACATTTTCTTTTCATGTTCCCTCTTTGTTCTCCAAACCTAATTCTTATTCTTACCTTTTTCTACCTAATAATGTAAGCTTCTCCACATTTCCACTGGTAGAGAATTTATTCTTTTGTCCTCTTCTGTTAGAATGGTGATCTTCTCTCTCAATTCATAACCAGTCCTATCTCCATGTGGGTCCTCAGTTTAGCTCCCCCCCACACAAAGTATCTATACAGTGAAATTGTAATTTACTTTTGTGTTTTATTAAGATATGTATCAGAGAATATTCAATGTAGGAAATAAATCTTCTTTAAAAGATTCTCTATTTTAAGCCCAGTGTGGTGGTGCACACCTTTAATCCCAGCACTTGGGAGGCAGAGGCAAGTGGATCTCAGTGAGATTGAGGTCAGTCTGGTCTACATAGGGAATTTCAGGCCAGCAGGGGCTACAGGGAGACCCTTTCTCTAAAATAAAAAGATTATTTTATTTGTAAAGATGTAATAAGTTGCTTTCGTTTTCTCAGCACTATGGGATAAACCAGCATATTTTTTCCAAATCATACATTCTAAAATATTTCATTTGTTCTCATGAGAAAGGCTGAGTTAAGCTAATTTAGTCAGGACTTTATATCTCATTTGTCTGTTTTGAGAATAGTGTTCAAAGCACTAAGGCTATAGATTTCTGTGTCCGTGGTATGGCTTCTCTGTTATTTTTATAACTGAAAACTGTTATGAATGTGTTCACAATCCTGTAATGAAGAGAGGACTACTCAGTACAGCATGTATCCATCCCTTAAACTTAATGATTATTGGATTTTTTCATTAAAATATTTTTGATTGTTTTATTTTGTATTTTATGTGTATATTTTTGCCTTCAAGTATATAAGTGCACCATGTGCATGCAGAGCCCACAGAGGCCGACAGATCCTCAGGAACTGGAGTTATGTACAATTGTTAGCTGTCATGTGGGTGCTGAGAACTGAACCTAGGTCCTCTGCAAGAGCAGCCAGTGCTCTTAATCTCTGAGTCATCTCTCCAGCACCCAGTTGTTATATTTTTGTTACATTTCTTTGTATACACACTTGAGTTTTCATTGTTTGGCTGAATAATCAAACAATCATGCTATTTGCTATTTCTTTTCTCCACAATTCTGTATTTACCTCTAAAAATAATGGTAGTTTTTGGCCTAGCACAGTATCACATCGCAACAAAGTATCAGCACCCACATCTTGTATAATCCCTGCTCTGAAGCTAAATTCTCCTGAACTTCTTACAAAATGTCTTTTTATATATGATTTGTTTTGGCTAGGATTCAAATTCAATCCAAATTATGTCTGGCTATCACATCTCACAAGTCTCTGTTTCATGCCCTTCAGTTCTCTTACACTTGTGTCACTAAGAAAGCCAAGTGTCCCCTGGATGCCACTGGTGAAGAGTTTCTGGTGCACACATGGCTGGCAGTTACACAGAGCATGGTACTATGATGTAATTCATCAAAGACCATTCAGACAGAAAATTGCCAAAAAGGAAAGTCTTTATTAGCCAATACTGGGTATTGGGGTCCCAAGTACATCCTGGAACTGTGCCTAGGGTAAGCTTTTATACAGAAAAACCACATCCAGGGGTGAAAAGTTAAAGTCTACAACCTTAGAGGTGGAAAGTACCCTTAAGAATTTCTATTCTATTAAACAACAATTACTATTTTGCAAAAGCAAGCCAAGCATAACCTACAGAAGCCATAAATCTGCAGTTACCAGGTACACTTAGGACATGCTGACCTGTTCCCAAGACAACCTGGGGACCTGCTGACATGTTCTTATACCCTGGGCCAACTGCCTTTTAGATTCAAAGGCTATAGTCAGACTACACTTCAACATGGAATAACTATAGTCAAGAAGGTGACATATCAAAATGGCCTGTTCCTTCCAAGCAACAAACGTATTTTTCTTCAAAAATACTTTGCATTTCACAGTCACACTCCACATTTAATGGATTCTAATTTTATCTATCGCAA